AATGCAGCCTTGCTGAGCAGAAGAGACTTCTTTCAAAAACATTAAAAAGACCCCAAACTTTTATATACAGTACCTCTAACTTTTGGGCCTGTTTTATATCAGAGCGTGAGTTTTTTCTTTGACCAGCCAACAACACATGTTTCTTCGCCAAGTGTTTATACGTGTGTAAGTCGGAGTATGCGGTGTGTGGTCATCCGGATCTGCTGGAGGGCTCCATGTCTGCTTATCTGCCGGGTTTGAGCATCGCCCCTCGAATCTCCATCCCAAACCCCTGGATCCGCGCCTACAGTTTCACTGGGACAGAGGAGTACGCTGGGACTGCCATGCACACTAAATCACTCTTCACTTTCTTCTTTGTGACTTAATAAGAACAGGAATGTGTTTTAAGAAAGTTAAAAAGCATCCATTTAGATTCAGGTTAACTTGATTTATGCAGAAAATAAAACAATATTCCAGTCCGATCAACACTGGTTGTTTTATGTAACGTAGAATGTCCTTATTTGGATTGAGAAATCCAGCTCTTGATCCAAACCGTGGCTAAGAAGCAAAAATGTTTGTCATGCTCACAAAAGGGTCTAGAGTTCAGTAATGTTCAGATGAGTCCAACAGCTTGAAGCAATTAACATCTTCTCTTTCTTTCCCAGGTGGGAGGTCAACCCGTTATACTGCGATAACGTCAAAAAACGATATCCTTACAACTCTGGGAACAGACTGCTCAACATTATCGACATGGCGATATTTGACTTTCTCACAGGCATGTTAATATCCACACATGATGGAATTAACTTCATGCCAACATTTTACGTAAAGCGATTTCATACCTGACAATCAAAGTGGTGTGTTGATGGTTGGTTTTGCACCAAAATAAGCTTCGCTTTAACAATAAGGAAACTTTAAAGCCAGTGTACTGACCTTAATTTTCCTTCATATTTTAGGAAACATGGACAGACACCACTATGAAGTTTTCACCAAGTTTGGAGATGATGGTTTCCTGCTCCACTTAGACAACGCCAGAGGGTATGTGCTCATCTGGACATGAACACTGAACTCATTTCTGCAATGCACTGCACAGTTTTCACTGTTGCGATCACGTCTTTTGCGGTGGCTTGTGAAATGCATGGCATTTTATAAACAGCACTCAAATCAAAAGAGGTTCAGCTTTTAAAACGTGTCTTTTTTATTCCACCGCCTTACATCATGCATTTTTAAATGCAAAAAATAAAGGTTCTGTGTGAATGGCCCCTCTCACTGTTTAAGTATCAAAGCGGTTTCTTATCAAAGCCCATTTTCGATATAAGAAATAAAATGTAATGCTTTGGAAAATCATGACGTAAAATG